ATAGAGACCTTGTCTCTTAAACAAAAAAAGCATTAACCTTAATTGGATTTTTTTCTTATTAATGTATCAGTTATACTACACTTAGTGACTTGGAAGTTTGAGAAAAGGTTTTTCCCCAAACTCCTTCTCCAAATCATACTAAAACAAGTCAAAGAGAGGAGAAAAAGATATAGTATTTACAGGAAAATAAGCTATAAATAACTGGAACTAAGCAAAAAAAGCAGAATAGGTCACTGTGTTGGAGGTAAAAACTCTTAAAGGAAAGTCAAAAGAACAGAAGCAGTTTGAACCTTTGTCAGGACTACTGGGATCATAAGCATTTTTTCTTGCTGAGCTATAACAGGAACTCAATAGTTATCCAAGAGTATGTCTGCTTTAGAGAAAATAATTTCAACAGCAAAGAGATTAAAGGGTACAAGAATGCAGGGTGTGAGGGAGTGTAAGTTTGGGAGAGAGTGGCTTAAATAACAGTACTAAACAGTCAATGGCTACTTCCATGTTTTTAGATATTAAAATATTTTGTCAAATACATGTCCATTCATAACATAAAATAATATGGCTTGCTTATTGGCTTCATTATAAATGTGTGATTCATGCTAAGCCAAACCCTGGGGCTCTGGAATCTATTTCTAAATTTCCCATATAGTATCAATTACAATAATTTCTGCCAATAAAATTAAGAACCTAAGTGGGAGAAAAAGTCTACATCCTTCTGTATAAGAAATGATGTCACTCACCTTTTTGATGAAACTGCTAGAATGTTTTACATTGAAAGATAAAAGAAAAGACCAAGTATGAGGTAATTTATTCTTTTTCATTTTAGGGAGAGCAAAATGAACAATCCAGGTATTTAAGAACTAAATTCCTGTCCCATAGCATAGTTTACAGTCATCAAGATAAAATTGACTTTCTTTCCCCTATTCCCTACTATCGAAACAAAACAAAACAAGAAAAAATAAATGTTGTCTAACTACTATTATCTAATTCAGTTCAGGTTTATCCTACTATTCCTTGATATAAAACACCAAAATGTGATAAATCAGTAATTGGGAAATGAAAGATCAAACCAGAATGTGAGATAGTCCTAATAGTATTTGTGTGAGAGACAGTCCTAACAGTCTTCCTGAATATCAAAGGGTTGGTGGGGTGGAAATCAGTAATTTTCTAAAAGAACTTTACAGTAACTAATGAGAAATCACTTTTTACAAATGCAAAAAAAAAAAAAAAAATGCAATGCCTATATATTTTTAGACCACCATTCATTATCTTTTATAAAAATACAGTCCTGGCCGGGCGCGGTGGCTCACGCCTGTAATCCCAGCACTTTGGGAGGCCGAGGTGGGTGGATCACGAGGTCAAGAGATCGAGACCATCCTGGTCAACATGGTGAAACCCCGTCTCTACTAAAAAAAATACAAAAAATTAGCTGGGCATGGTGGCACGTGCCTGTAATCCCAGCTACTCAGGAGGCTGAGGCAGGAGAATTGCCTGAACCCAGGAGGCGGAGGTTGCGGTGAGCCGAGATCGCGCCATTACACTCCAGCCTGGGTAACGAGAGCGAAACTCCACCTCAAAAAAAAAAATAAATAAAATAAAATAAAATAAAATAAAAACACAGTCCCTTTAAAGCTAGGATTATTTTCTCTATAAAAAAATACTTGTTCTCTTCCCTTAGAAAGAAATTACTAACCATGACTTCAATCTATGGCTTGACAAGTGTTACTTCTAATATCTGTTATACTGTTTTGATCAAATAACACAGTAATTATCAAGAACCTCAGAAAAACTGTCTATTTGAGTGTTAAAAGCATTCTTCTACAATAACTTCCATAAAATATACTTCAACACAATCATTTTAACACCCAGCAGGTTTCTTCTTCATAGTGCTGAATCCTATTCTTAAAAGTTTACTTTTTTTCTCCTACTTTGAACATAATTGTGTCAACAGTAAAGGAAATACTTTGTTTTCATAGGCCAGTACAGTTGTAGCCTTGTGGGAAACACTGTTCTCAGCTGCCCCCTTGCTGCTGAAAAGAAACTTTGAGGCTGGTGCTGCATAGAAATATACCAATTATGTCTGAGAGAGTAACATGAGCACAGGGAATTTTGTGAAAAGTCAGTGATCATGAGATGCTATGCTAAAGTGTTCCAAATCTCTTAGCATTTTTTATTAATGACTGAAAATAAATAAAACGCTTGATCTCCCTAGTTTTCAAGTGTCAAAGTTCTCTGGCCCTAAAAACCTGAGCTGTTAGATATTTATACCTTCAGAAAAGAATGAGCTAGTTTACTGAGAATTTCAGTGATAGTGAGTGGTAACAATAATCAGAGAATGAGCTGCTCATTCTATTGGTAGCATAGGCAGTTATCCCTCTGTGTATGTGGAGAACTGGTTACAGAGCCGCCTGCATACATCCAAATCCGCACACACTCATGTCCCACGGTTAGCCCTGCAGACTTTACATGTGTGAAAAGTTGGCCATGCATATAAGTGGATATGCATATAGCATTCTGCTAAGGTTGAGGAAAATCCACATAGGAATGGACCTGCTTCATTTAAACTTTTGTTCAAGGGTCAACTCTATTTACTTCTAACCACACCCAGTACATTCTTTAAAAAAAAAAAAAGAAAGAAAGAAAGAAAGAAAAAGAAAAGAAAAGAAAGCCAGCTACTCAGTATCACTTGAGTCCAGGAGTTTGAGTCCAGCCTGGGCAACATAATGAGACCCCCTCTCTTGTTGAAAAAAAGAGAGAAAGAGGTTTTTTCCGGTTCTGTGATGAAGGTCATTGGTAGCTCGACGGGGACAGAATTGGATGTATAAATTAGTTTAGGCAGTATGGCCATTTTTACAATATTGATTCTTCCTAACCATGAGCATGGAATGTTTCTCCATCTGTCTGTGTCCTCTCTTATTTCCTTGAGCAGTGGTTTGTAGTTCTCCTTGAAGAGGTCCTTTACATCCTTTGTTAGTTGTATTCACAGGTATTTTATTCTCTTGGTAGCAATTGTGAATGGGAGTTTGCTCATGATTTGGCTCTCTGTTTGTCTGTTGTTGGTGTATAGAAATGCTTGTGATTTCTGCAGATTGATTTTGTATCCTGAGACTTTGCCGAAGTTGCTTACCAGCTTAAGGAGGTTTTGGGCTGAGACTATGGGGTCTTCTAAATATACGATCATGTCGTCTGCAAATAGGGACAATTTGACTTCTTCTCTTCCTAATTAAATGCCCTTTATATCTTTTTCTTGCCTAATTGCTCTGGCTAGGACTTCCAATACTAATAGGAGTGGTGAGAGTGGGTATCCTTGTCTAGTGCCAGTTTTTAAAGGGAATGCTTCTAGTTTTTGCCTGTTCAGTATGCGGCACTGTTTGCAATAGCAAAGACCCAGAAGCAACCCAAATGCCCATCAATGATAGACTGGACAAAGAAAATGTGGCACATATACATTTTATGCAGCCATAAAAAATGACGACTTCATGTCCTTTGTAGAGACATGGATGAATCTAAAAACCATCATTCTCAGCAAACTGACACAAGAACAGAAAACCAAACACTGCATGTTTTTACTCACAGGCAGGTGACAAACACTGAGAACACTTGGGCACAGGGAAGGTAAGGGGTTGAGGGGAGAGGAGGGGAAGGACAGCCAGGGGCGGGGAGGTTGGGGAAGGATAATACTGGGAGAAATGCCTGATGCAGGTGACGAGGATGGTGGAGACAGCAAACCACCATGGCATGTATGTACCTATGCAACAATCCTGTAGGACGCAGGATGTGCACATGGACCCCAGAGCCCAAAGTACAAAAAAAAAAAAGGAGAGAGAAAGAAAGAAAAAATGGCTTAAGATGGAAACCACCACTGAGGAATTCCAACTCATTCATGTGCTCCTGGGTTAACATACAGCACTCTAACAGAGACATTCACATGGCAACTCTATGAAGAAAATATTTTCATTTTATGGCAAAAGTAGGTGAAATATAAATAGCTATGCATTTTTTCCATTTAGCCTAAGATTCATAACATTCAACAGTGCTAGTATAAACATTTACTTTTACGTAAGCTAACTGATTATCTAACACATTCTCCACCAACCTAATGTTTGATTAAAAAGATATAAAAGAGGAATAGAGTCAAAGCTAACTGATTATCTAACACATTCTTCACCAACCAAATGTTTAAGAAGACGTAAAAAAGGTATAGAGAGTCAGAGCTAACAGATTAACACATTCTTCACCAACCATGTGTTTGATTAAGAAGATATAAAAGAGGAATAGAGATTCTTAGGAATATAGATCCAAACATTCCACAATTAATACAATAATCAGCCTACAATCCATCTCAAACCTACATTTCAGAAGTCTACTTCTCAATAACCAAATGGGAATTGGTTTAAAAGCCTAAAAAGGAAAAGCCTAAATAGAATATTTTTATCTTTTTACTTTTCCTTTTGTTATAAACAGTATGGCTATCAGGATTACAAAGAATAAAAATCAACAAGTAATTTATATTTCCTAAATATAAATTCATAGTGTGACACCAATTCCATGTTCATCTTTATAATACTCAGCAGCTCAAGTAAAGCATGTATTACAGTATTTAGACTGTTCCACTCACATAATTTATTTTATATTGCTTCCTGTTTCTCACATCTTTGTATTTTCCACAATATTCACAATACCGCAAGTACTTAAAAATATTTGCTTTGTTCTTTTTTTTTTTTTTTTGAGACGGAGTTTCGCTCTTGTTACCCAGGCTGGAGTGCAATGGCGCGATCTCGGCTCACCGCAACCTCCGCCTCCTGGGTTCAGGCAATTCTCCTGCCTCAGCCTCCTGAGTAGCTGGGATTACAGGCACGTGCCACCATGCCCAGCTAATTTTTTGTATTTTGAGTAGAGACGGGGTTTCACCATGTTGACCAGGATGGTCTCGATCTCTCGACCTCGTGATCCACCCGCCTCGGCCTCCCAAAGTGCGCTTTGTTCTTTCAAGATGAACTTACCCTTCGAAATGACACAACATAAAACGTGTCTCCCCTTCTGCGGATGGCTTCAAAAAAGTCTTGATAACTTCTAGGTGAAGCATAATATACTTGTAGCTCACTCCCTGAGTTCCTGCTAAAGTAAAAAAAATAAGGTTTTACTAAAATAAAAAGTTTAATGTTTCCCCAAAATACTTCCCATTCTAAGGCTACGTCTGAATTCTAAGAGTCTCTCTCAACCAAAATATTAGTTGCACTTTGGCAGTAATTTTTATAACAACATTTTGTAAAGCCCAAGATCAGGGTATTTTATAAGATCTCATTTACTGATGCTAAAATTCAGATTTCTGAATCAAGGCTCTAAAATGTACTAGATGGTCAAGTAAGTTGCAAAGCATGTAAAAATAATAAAAGCATCAGAAAATAGATTCTGCATAGGCTCAAATTATTTTGAAATTTTTAGTAATACAAATTAAATCTGAGGCAAAGTTATTTCTCACCACTCTGTCAAATATATGAAGGTGTGCTTGCCTATGAGGCTGTGTGAAAGGTGGAAAAAGCTTAAGATTTGAAAACAAACAGAACTGGTTTAGAATTCCTGCTTCACTTCTCAAGTGGGCATTCTTAGGTAAATTGCCGTCTATGAGCAACTTATTTCCTCTTCAATAAAAAGAGGATAACCACACAAACCCCGCAGGATTGTTATTGGAGAGGTTATATATGTAAAGTGCCAAGCATTGGATCCTGTTCTTCAGGAGTCACTAAACAATTGCTAGTCACTGATATTAAAAGTACCATGTATGTGCCTTACTAAAATTAAAAACTAAAATGATAATACCTCAAACAACATCATACTCCAAAAGATACAGTCAAATGATTCTAACAGAGTTCTTGATATGTTCTGGATCTTCTAGTGTTTAGGACCAATATCCAGAAGAGTTAAAGAGATCCTATGTTTCGTTTTTCTTCAAAGAGAAAATTTGTATGTATCAATCAAACATTATTTATTAAGAGAAGAAAAAGACTGACCTAAATGGAAATAATAAATGAGTCATAAGAACTTCCTTTGAAATAATTCCGTTTGTTCACTAGGCCATTTCTGATTATAATATTTTGAATATATAGTCACTGCTTGCTATTTTGTGATGGTTATGTTCTAAAAAGTTACTGACAACAATGAATTAGTGAATCCTAAACCATTCTCCTAGGGGAAATACAGAGTTAGGTTCCTGCAAGCCTCTGGTTACAATATTTTGGTCAAGTGATCAACATATAGCCTTACTTATGTGTTTCTGTTTAAAGACACCTTCTTTGACATATATTATTCATTCACTAACTTGAACTCACAGCCAATAGCACTATAAATCATGCCTGAATGAAACTTCTCTAATACACAGTTTCTCCACACAATACATCACAGCCTGCTTGGGCTTAGGAACACTAGACAGCAATTCAGCAATATGCCTGTGGGTCATTTCAAACAGCAAAATTATCAACAAAAAGCACAAAAATATGAAAAACGTGGACTGTGAAAAGGACCTTATTTATACAGCTGAAACTAGAAGGCAAATTGTTTCCTTGTTCAACCTCACCAGGGAGCATCTATGCATGTCTGCAAATGATGACAAAAGCACTGCTAATATTGATTTAGGGATTACAAATATGTTTTAGCAGATTTTAGTAGGTGAATTAGCAAATATGGAATCCACAATTAATAAATATTAACTGTAATTCACTAAAACATTTTAACTAATGAAGAAATACCATGCCATCATAACCATGCATCCCAAAATTGATATTTTTAAAAAATAAATGTATTATAACTGAATGATATACTCTGGTTAGGAGAGAATTATTACTTACTATTTAAATATATTTTAATTATCAATTTCAACAGGATAATACAATTTCAGGATTTTAAACATTCATGATTGCTGATATGCTGTGTCTTGCCATTTAATAGGAATTCTCAGTTATTAGCATAATGAATAAAATAGCTTTTGACTTACATTTTTACTATCTATGTTTTTTTCTCAGTGCCTAGAACACTGGCACACAGTATATTCTAAGTAAATATTAAATTAATATTAATAAATAATGAACTACAAATGTGTGGTAGAGCTACAGACAGAAGCTGAGATTCTCAGCTTTCACTTCAGTGATACTATTTTCAGTAACATCACATCATTGTCATTTATCATTTTGGGGCAGCATTTAATATGCACCAAATACCATGCTAAGTGCTCTAAATATATTAACTAATTTAACCGTTACATCAACTCTGTCCAGCATTTTGTAAATGAGGAAACTTTATTTGCATGTAACCTGCCTGAGGCAGAGTTATAATTTGAACTCTGCCCAATAGACCAAATAAAGCTAGCATCTTAACCATGATACCATATTGCTTCCCATATTATCTCTTTCCCTTTGAAGATATTTAAACCTCCAGATACAGCATTCTCTTTGAAATCTTTCAAAATCTTAAGTAGTATTGTGTAGTAAAAAATGTACTGTAAGTAATAAAGCTAGGATCTGAATTCTGAGTCTGCCACTAGGTCTTATGACTCTGAAAATTTCAAAAAGTAAATATATGACTTGACCAGTTTTTCTGTATATAAAATATACTTTTAGTTATTATATGGATTTAAAGATAAATGTATGTAAAGCACTTAGCAGGATACCGGGCACAGAGCACTAAAAAAGTAACATTCCCTTCTCCTAGGCTCATGAAACAGATGCAAATCAAGGGCAAGAGAGCTACGGGTATTCAAGACTTTCATCCAAATGATGATAGAACAGCATTCTGACTAAATCTGTATTTAAGGGATTTGGAAGAGTTGAACTTTAGAAATTATCTGGCTTTATTCCAACTGCTCAGTAGTATACGTTTCATATATATATGTATGTATCAGTATATAATTAATATAAAATCATAGATGAGAACAAATTAATTTAAGGTGAAAGGGAAGTGTGAGTTTCAACTTTATTAAAACTACCACCTATTTCAAATTCCTCTGCCAAGAGCTTCCACACTGTTTTACCTGATACTAGTGGTTTCTGTGTATTGAACAGCCATCAGCTGAGAATTTGAGCCCTGTTCCAGAGCACCCTGGAATATTTAAAAAAAAAAAAAAAAAAAAAGTTTAATATTGTATCATGAAATTATATGAAATCCTCCTATACTGGTTCATTCTATACTTACATACTTACATTTGTTAAACTTGCATTGCTAAGATTTCTGATGTATTCAGTTCAAATAATTAAACACTAACAAATATTAGAACTATTTAGGTCCATTAGGGTCTGGGAGAAGTCTTATGGAGATTAAGGCATTTAAGGCACTTTCCATTAAGTTTAAAGAAAGAGCCCAAAAGCTTAGTCCAAGCACCACAAATTTTATGACCAAGCCACATAAGTTTTAATGGACATATAACAATATATGCTTGTCTAAAATAATTCTCTTACCAATGACAAGTTCCTAAGAAGTATGAAAGGTCCATAATGAACCTAGATCCTATTGTTTACTGAGTTAAACACAGAGATCTTCATGCCAAAATACATCTATGAACTAAGCCATCATTAAAGAGTTCTCACTGATGACTCTTGGCAAGAGAACAGTTCAATCTAGACCCATTAGTGGCCCACATATGCTACACTGGAATCCTGTCTTTCACATAGCATTTGCTTTGCATCATGCCTTTTTATTCTCCCTGGTAGTTTTGAAAGCTGATTTTCAGAAGAGATTTGTCAGGGTATCAGCATTCAAGAGCATATTACCAACTTCTATTACATTAGAAAGTAATCTTACCCTGTCAAACAATGATTTAAATAGTTTTTTAATCATGTCTTCATTACTGTGGCCATATATCCGTATTTTAGTAATCAAAGCACCTACACGCGCCCAAGCTACAAAATTAAATATTTGACTTCTGCCTTTACGAAGCTCGCAGTTTAACTGGGAAGACAGATACAGGAAACCAATACAATGTGATAAGTGCTAAAAGAGCACGTATAAAAGTTTAAGAAAGAAAAGAAGAGGAAACAATTTTGTTTGGTGGATGGAACCAATATGCAGGGTTGACTATGGGGCTTCCAACTTCTGGCTCTGTAACAAGTCAAAGATCTTACTTTATAAAAATCTAATGTGGGTCTTGTAATATTGTAGGTGCTCAATTAATGTTTTAACAACAAATGAAAAAAAATCACCAATAAAATTAAAAGAAACACACAGTTAAATAATGAAATGCTATACTTACTGGAATAGTTATCACGTAAATAGTAAATAAAGCAAAAACTAAATTATAGCTAGTTGATAAATACAAGGTTTCAAATGAACAGAATTAAACAGCTGGTGAATTTGAAATGATTTGTACTACTTTGGCCCATATAAAATAAGCAAAGAAGTCTGAAAGAAGCCAGACTTCTTTCCCTAGTCTCAGAAAGGAATGGGTAGGCCTTAGGGAAAGCCAAGTTACAGAGATAGAAGGTAAACAGAAAATAGATATTCCGTTTACCTATCCAAGAGTTTTAACAATTCACTAAGGACGCTCTGAAAAACTGGTCATGAGCTTTTGCATTTTTAGCTGTGTGGGTTTAGCAAAAGATCATAATTGGCAAAAATGTGAGAGGCATTTACACAGAAATGAGAGGATGTTAAAATGTCCAATTATGTTGCAGATCTGTTTCTCTAGTTCTGTCACTTTTTGCTTTGTGTATGTTGAAGCTTTGTTATTGTTATATGTTTAGAATTGTTAAATCTTTGTATGCTCCTCTTATCAATAAAAAATTTATTTTGTTGTCTCAGAATAACCTTTGTTAGGAAGTCTACTTTTTCTGATTAATATAGCCATGCCAGCTTTTTAATGCTTCATGTTTGCATGGCATACACACTTTTTCACTTTTATTTTCCATCTGTTGGTATCTTCATATTTAAAATCTTATTTCTTATAAACAACATATAGCTGGATCTTTCCTTTTTTAAAAAAATCTAGTTTGAAAATTTCTTCCTTTTAATTGATGTGTTTAGCCCTCTGAATTTAATTACTAATATAGTTGGATTTAAGTCTACCATCTTGGTATGCATTTTTAATTTATTCTATTTATTCTTTATGTGTTTCTCTTTTTCTGTCTTTTCATCAAACTGCATTTTTTTTTTTAGCATTCCATTTTTATTTATTACATCGTCTTTTTAGCTATACTTCTTTTCTTTTTAAGAAACAGGGTCTTGTTCTGTTCCCAAGGCAGGAGAGCAATGACATGATCATAGCTCACCACAGCTTCTTAGCTCCTGGGCTCAATCAATCTTCCTGCCATAGCCTCCCTGGTAGCTGAGATTATAGGAACAAGCCACCATGCCTGGCTCTAGCTGTACGTCTTTAGGTTGGCTTTTAGTAGTTGCTCTAGAGCTTATACTTTGATCTAAGTTACTGTAGTAGATCTTGAAATATTATTTGAACAACATAAAAACTTTATTAAGAGTGTAATTCTGCCGGGCACGGTGGCTCAAGCCTGTAATCCCAGCACTTTGGGAGGCCGAGGCGGGTGGATCACGAGGTCAAGAGATCGAGACCATCCTGGTCAACATGGTGAAACCCCGTCTCTACTAAAAATACAAAACATTAGCTGGGCATGGTGGCACGTGCCTGTAATCCCAGCTACTCAGAAGGCTGAGGCAGGAGAATTGCCTGAACCCAGGAGGCGGAGGTTGTGGTGAGCCGAGATCGTGCCATTGCACTCCAGCCTGGGTAACAAGAGCGAAACTCCGTCTCAAAAAAAAAAAAAAAAAAAAGAATGTAATTCTATTTATCCCTCCCTCTCTTTGTGTTCATATTGTCTTATATTTCACTTCTATATAAGCTATAAATCCCACAACAAATTGCTATTATTATTGCTTAAAAAAAGACAACAGTCGGCTGGGCGCGGTGGCTCAAGCCTGTAATCCCAGCACTTTGGGAGACCAAGGCGGGTGGATCACGAGGTCAAGAGATCGAGACCATCCTGGTCAACATGGTGAAACCCCGTCTCTACTAAAAATACAAAAATTAGCTGGGCGTGGTGGCGCGTGCCTGTAATCCCAGCTACTCAGGAGGCTGAGGCAGGAGAATTGCCTGAACCCAGGAGGCGGAGGTTGCGGTGAGCCGAGATCGCGCCATTGCACTCCAGCCTCGGTAATAAGAGCTAAACTCCGTCTCAAAAAAAAAAAAAAAAAAAAAAAGACAACAGTCTTTTAAAGACATTTAAATACACACACACAAGATAGTTGTCTTTTTTTGTCTTTTTTTTTTTTTAAAGGCCTGTGCTTTTTACCCAAATATTTGTCCATTCTGATTTTCTTACTTCCTGCTAATCTGGGGTTCTCTCTAGTATCATTTACCCAAGTCCTTTAAAAAACATCTTTAGCATTTCTTACACTGCAGGTCTTCTGGAGACGAATTCCCTTGGTTTTCTCTAGTGAAAATGTCCTTATTTTGCCTTCATTTTGAAAGATATTTCATTAATTTTCCTCTTTACCTTTTCTAAAAGGTAAACTGTCTAGGAAGAAGGTAGAACTATGAAAACAGGACAGTCAAGTCAAAGACATAATAATGCTTAGATACAGCAGATATTTCAAAGAAATGTCAGTTCACTAAAATTACAGAATATTTTGTAAGACTTTGGGATACTCTTAGCAACTGAAAGTGGTATCTGGAAGAAAAGAAGGTTGAAATGAAAAAAGAAAAAGGCGAGCAGTTATAGCCTCTTTACATTAAGAAAGAGAATTGTTTAAAATCTTAATATGCTTTGCCATTGACAACAGAATGAAAAATTCTTCTCCCTCCTCTAACCAGGAACTTCTTTACGATTGACAAATACAGATTCTTCCCCATCATTCCCTTCTATAGTAGCTAAGATTCCCATAATTCTGAGCATATCTAAGTTCCCTACAGAAACATATGTGCCCAAAATAGCATAGAAAGAAATAAGACTAAACTACAAATCTCCTCCAAATGAACAGACAGTAAAATTAAAAGAAAATTCTTTTTCTTGCATTGGAATTCCTTTAAGATTAAAGAATACCAAGCACCCCTTCCACAGTAAATGCTCAATTCATTTATCTAATGAACAGTAAAGAAAAACATGACAAATTATATCTAATGATAAGGCCAAAAAAAAAGCATTTGGAGCAAGAATTTTAATCTAATTTTTCATTAAGTCCATTATACTAGCTGTGTGGGATTACCTACTGGCAATGATCTATTCCTGACTCCTGTGTTCTTCCTCTGTATAGCAAAGGATGGAAGCCTGAAACCTGTATCACTCAAACTATTTTGCCACCAGGGTTCTGGATATAATTTAGATTCTGCCAATAAGATGCACTTGCTTCATACTTGGAAAGCAGAAGGGGGATAGAGTCCATTTTTCCTTTGACCATGGTGGCAGCTGATGTGTAGGCTTTGACAGACAAGAATTTTTGAAGTACTAGACTCCACATTCCAATGCCAATAAGCAGCTTTGGGACTTTGGGGTGCTTGTGACATTGTTAATGATTGCCTGCAGCCTCTAGAAGTACTAACCAATAAAGTTACCTACTATAGTGGGTGAAAAAAGTTGTTGGAGAGGCCAAGAGAAGCACACAGTAGATAATTACAAAATTTCAGAATTTCAGTTTGAGCTCACCAACACTAACCTCATTTTATGTAGGAAAACAATCCCATAATAGTTAAAAACCCGTGTTTCTTATTGTCCTTTTAATACACTTTGGAACATAACATATACTGATTCCAATTAATATGAAATAATTAAACAGTTTAAGATGTTTCCATTAGCATGTAAACTTGGTGAAAGATTTCCCATCCAAAAAATAAAACTCTTCCTTGATTCCTGTAACTACCCCATTTCTCTATTCTCATGTATAGGGATCACCCTGAAATAATGTTCTCCACTTCCTCCTCTGTTATTCCCTCCCTGAATCCACTTCAGTTGGCTTTTGCCATCACCACTCCAAGGAAAGAACTTTCACCAAGGTCACTAACAAGTTCTAACGGTCAATTCCAAAAGTAATTCCTCACTCTTTAGCTTAATCAGCGTCTCTTAGCTCTCTTAGCCCCTGTAACTAACTGCTACATCCCCTTCTTTAAAAACTTTCTTTGCTTGAGTTTTGGGACACCACTATCCTACATTTTCTCTATTTTACTGGCCAGCGACCCTTATTCCTTTTCAAGTACTGGTTCCTCTTTCTCTTTAAGCCTGTAATGTTGGAGCTGGCCCAGAGCTTGGTACCTCACTCTCTTTTCTTCCCACTTTATTTCTCTCTAGGTAGTAGCACCGCAAATTAAACTTCCAGTTTCAACCTCTCTCCTAAACTCCAGACCCAGATACCTGATTGTCCACTTGACTTCTCCACTCGAGTGCCTAATAGCCATATCAAACTTAACATATTTAAAATTATTGACTCCTGCCTCTAACTTCTCCTTCTCCAGTACTGGTCTCAGTAAATGGTATCACCAATCATCTGTCACCTAAGCATATGATTTATCATTATATCAAGAATTTATATAAGCTTTACTTTCAAACTATATTTAGCATCCAAGTACTTTCTGCCACCTTCATGACTACCACACTAGTACACTAGTATGGACCACAACAATCTCTCACCTAGCTCACTAAAATGCATTCTTAACTTGTCTCCCTACTTCCAGTCATGCTCCCTATCACGGTCCACTTTATGTAGCAACAAATTTTTCAAAATATAAATCAGATCAAGTCACTCCCTTACTCAAACCTTTCAATGGCATCCCCTCAAACCTAGGATGAAATCCAAAGTTCCCACGAAAGCCTAGGAAGTTTGCTATGTGCTTCTGTCTGCTGCCTCTCTAATCTCATCCACCACTCTCCCTCAGCCCCTGCATTCCAGTCGTACTCAGCTTCTTCATGTTCCTCAAATATACAAACTGTTCCCTCCTGAGGGTCTTTACATTTGCTGCTCCCTCTGTCTAGAAGCTCTTGCTCCAGATTTTCCCCTAAATCTTTACATTGTTATTTCAGTCACTTTTCTGTCTATGGCAAAAGCAATGTTCTCACCCAACCCTTTTCTTCTTCTTGAGCACACAGAAAGATACATGATTCCAGTCTCTCTTGCAGTAGGTTGGGTAAAGTGACAAGAGTTTTAGCCAACTAAACATTGTCTAAAATCCAGGCCTGTTCCCTAAAACATTTTGCATAATCCACCAGACTCTCTCTTCCCTAACATCCCAAGCTGTAAGCAAAGAATTTTAACTTGTTGGGGCTACACAGTAGAATGAACCCAGATCCCCTTACTCGCTGCTTGGAGAAAAGCAATCCTAGAAGATGATGTCAAATTTTGTGCAAGTGAAAAATTTTTATTCCATTAAGCTACTAAGATTTTGGAGCCTGTTATAACAGCTAGCATTAATTACCTTGACAATGCCATCTTAAGGTAAGACTTCTTCAGAAGCCTTGCCTGACCACTCAGTCTAGTAACTCATTTCTTAATTCAGATTCTAACCTCCTATGCTGCTCTGTGTTTCTGTAGAGAACTCATCTCTAATTTTGAGTGTGTTTGTGTATTTATTTGCTTGCTTATTGTTTAGCTCTCCCACTAGAGAGTAAACTCCATTAAGGTGGGGACTTTATCATACTCACTCCTTTATTTCAGGGTCAAGAATAGTCCTTGACTCATTATTGGGAACTTGTATATGCCTATTGCTAGTCTAAGTGCTAACAACAAATATTTGATGAATGATGGAATGACTTAATGGTGTTTTGTGGCAAACAACATTGAGATGGAAGCCTCACTTAACAGATTCTAAGTAAGATCTGTCATTAAGCCAGAGTGGTAAATATCTAAGTCCAGAAATGCCCTCCATGGATGTGTCTTCATTTCCAAACTGTCCCATGTCTCAACATTCTCTTTTTGAAAAGCTCTAACAAGAGAGGAGATAAACAGTATTATTTATTATACCATTGTGCCAAAGACATTTGATGTAGATATCCATGCATAGGAACTCCTGGCTTGAAAGCAAATTTGAAGGTGAGAGCAAGAAATCATACAATGCCTGATCAGGGAACTACTAATACTACAAACTCTAAACTAGTGCTATAAAACCTGGGAGGAAGACTTCAGTGGCAATGACAACTGCATCAGAAGCAGCAGGAGACAGTGGGGAGTGGCTAAAGCTCAAGCTTACCAAATCTTCCAGGGAAGAGAGCAACCCAGCTGGGAGAAGCCTTCCAACAAATATGCCAGCTATTGTTCAAAGACAAGCAGAAACAAACCTGAAGAATGCGGGTTTTCTGTTGATTATTTGTCATTCTTCTTGACTTGGTCCTTTCTACTTCATGTCTATGAACCCATCCTCGAAGTTCATGATTTAACCTATAAAATATAGTTTAATTAATTAAACATAGAAATCAATGTTTCGCCCTGTGGGTGGAAATGAATCTAATCATTTGTAGATTCCAAAGAGCATTCTGAGTGCCTGATGACGCAATAGTTTTGATCTGAAAAAACTGATATTTTTATTAAGATACGCATTTTTATATGGTAAACTCGTCAACTATGCATTCAAAATTCAATGAAAACTATAGCTAAATACCTGCCAAATACAAACACAAGATGCTAAGGTTTTTCCACCAAAAAAAGTATTTCCTTGCCAGCACGGTGGCTCACACCTGTAATCCTAGCACTTTGGGAGGCTGGGGTGGGAAGACTGCTTGAGCCTGGGAGTTTGAGATCAGCCTGCACAACACAGTGAGAGACCCTGTTTCTACAGAAAATAAAAAATAAAAAAAAAATTAGCTGGGCATGGTGGCATGTGCCTGTAGTACCAGCTACTCAAGACGCGGAGGCAGGAGGATCGCTTGAGCCTGGGAGTTTGGGGCAGCTGAGGTATGATCGAGCCACTGCACTCCAGCCTGGGCAACACAGTGAGACTCTGTCTAAAAATAAAACAAAACAAAATAAAAAGTATTTCCTGTTTCTGTTCTTGGGCTATGTAAACACAAACATTTGAGACACTGTAGAGAACTTAACGAGTCATAGGATCCCTAACAACAAATAGACTGCATTAAAGCCTTTTGAAAATCATGCTCTTTTGGGAGAATAAAAAGAATGAATCTAATTGCCTGGGGCAAAAAAAAAATTCTAATTTTTCAACACAGGAAATAAAAGCGTAGCTCAAATATAACTTCTTTTACTTTGCTTACTTCTTACAGCAGCTGTAAAGATGTTAAACTGTTTAACTGTAGTTGATCACTACCTATCACAAAAAAACCTGAGGTAGTTTTTGAGGTTTAAGGATAAGGTCCAAAATCACAGGAAAAAAATTCAAGGGAAAAGTTGATAAAGAAGTGTGTACTAATGGTAAGGTATCTCCAGAATCACATATCTACAAATTATTATCTTCCTAATTTGAAGAAAAAGGTACTTTCTGCTATAAATGTTAGCAACTGTTAAGCCTAACACTTACACTGAAATTTTAGTATTAATTTCCTTCTGTAGTTTTCAAAGAAGACAGATTTCAGTAAGCAACCATCACATAAAACAGACCCATCACCATCCCTATCAGGTTGGTGGACAAACTGGACAACTAATATGCCTACAGTTATCCAACAAATAATTCAGAGATTCTCTCAGTCATTTAATAAACCTGACCAATTACTTGTCTGGGTTTCAAAGCCAAACATGGGAACCAACTCAGATGTTTCTGCAATAATCTCCAACACTCACCTGAGAGATTCTGTTGTGTTAATGAGGGGCTGACAAGGAGGGGGAGGAATATAAAGCAACGGTTCTTCAGTTAGCACCATCAGGGCTTTGTCATTTGAAACAGAATGATCGTATCTGAAACATGGATGCACAAAATTTGTTTCCTTAGATCTTAAATTCCTAAGAAATTTGCTATAAGAAAAGCATCATTAGTGTTAACTTTTCATGAAAATTTTAAAAAGTAAATAGAACACACTGCAAGATAAAGTATAAAATAAGGAAACTTATTTTACATGAAATATCATTTTCTGATTGTCTACAGAGACAGCATGGTAATTCACATTTGTCCAGTCACCATTTATTGAGCAATTAATTTGCAATAAGAGATACAATAACACATGGTTCATTATGTCTTCAATGAGCTTAAGACATACACAATACTGCTGGTACAGAGGTGGTAATACAGTAATGGGTAACTGAGGGGAAAATCAACTGGTATTATCTGACCAGAATAGTATCCCTAAAACAGGTAGAGAGAGAGAGAGAGAGAGAGGGAGGGGGAGAGAGGGGGTGGGGAATGTGTATGTGTGTGTGTGTGTGTGTGTGTGTGTGTGTGTTTATGTCAGGGATAGGGTGAGACATAAAATACTTGGCAGGAGAAAACTGAAAGAGTTGAAAAGCTGAATATAAACTATGGAATCACAGAAGAATTTGAATTACTAATAAAACACCAGGGTGACTAATATTAACTAGTTACTCCATTTGCTTCAAAAATATATACTTTCCTAGCCATCACACTGTGAATTCATATCCAAGGTGTGATGGAGGAAACAAAATCAGACTTGAAAGTTAGAATTTGAGTTGTGGACATTACTGTTATTTATGCTCTTTAGTCAGCAATCCTAATCTCTCTCACTAACAAAACTTGCATCTCTCCCGAATTTCTTTATATAGGATGATCTGGATTTAGAAAACTATATATGCTAATATCCCAAAAGAAAACATGTAAATACATAAAACTGAACATAGTGAGATTCACACTTTGCATTTATTCATTCAACAAATACTTGCTGAATACCAACTGTGTGGCCAGGTATTGTACTCGGTGTTGAGAATCCAGTAGGGAATGACAGAATCAATGTTTCTGTTCCCAAAGATCTTAATGGGGAAGATGGACCAAACAGAAGAAAATAAATGCATAAAATAAATCCAAACACTAGTACGTGCTATGAAAGAAACAAATGAATGGTTGGAATGGAAAAACAACGGTAGTATATACTTCAGACAAAATGGTCTGAGAAGGAGATGGTAGTTACACCAAGGCCTAAATGATGAGAAAAAGCCAACTCTATAGAAACTGGGGTAAGAGTGTTCCAGGCAGAGAGAGGCAGGTGGGGGAAAGGTGGGCTCAAAGAACTTTAAAAAGACCACTAGCTGAAGAGTGGGGAGGTAGTAGGGAACAGGATGAGTTTGGAAAGAAAGAGATCAGATCATAATAAGGAATTACTAAATGTAGTAAGTCACAAAAATGTTTCAAATACAGAAGTGATATCTTTTAATTTACATTTATACCTTGCCACAGTACCAAAAATGGACTCAATGGAGACAAGAGGGGAAGCTAAGAGACCAATTAGGAAAGAGCTATGGCAACCCTGGCAAGAACTGATGAGGGCATGGACTGGGCTTATGGCAGCAGAGACAGAGAGAAGTGGACCAATTCAAGACAATTTTTTGAAAAGAATATCAACAATACTTGTTGAAAGAGAGAAATCAGGATTTCTGGCTTAAGCAATGGAAAGGAAAAAACACAGCTGTAGAAAATTGGTTGGAAGTAAAATAGGGAGAGGAACTGAGTTCCACAGTGTACATGTTAAGTTTGAAATGTTAAAACGGAGATGCCAAAGAGACTCTTAATATATGTGAGTCTGGAGACTCAGAACAGAAGTCTGGACTGAAAACATAAATTTGAGAGTCATCAGGAAATAAAGATATGGATTGTGCCCGAAATTATGGATGAGTCACCTACATGCACAAAAAGATTTTTAAGTTTCCAGTTCCAAACCTGGAGATTTGGGTAAAGGAGGAGGCCACAAAGATTACTGTGAAGCGGCAGCCAATAAAAAAAAAGGAAACTAAAAAAAGTAGCAACACAAAAGGAAAGTCTTTCAAGGAGCAAATGACCCACACAGCCAAATGCTCAGGAAAGGGCAAGCAAAATAACAGAAAGCGCTGGCCCCTTAACAAAAATAATTTTGGTAGAGTCAAAGGCTAACTTCAAGTTAAAAGTTAGAGATACGTATTTATGCCACACAAGAGAGAAAAGAAACAATAGCAGAGGATACACAGAGCACTCTTCCCTGCAACTTGCACCGGGAATATTCTCAATGTCCTCTCTTGCAGCTGTAAGAGTTAAGTAGGTTTAAGTTGTTTGGAATAAAACAGACGCGTTGGTGCACAGGTAATAACTGCATACACAAAAGGATCAGCCTAAAATGAAGCACTGAGTGAGAAGAAAAAAATATCTGTTTGGTGTTTGATAAATCTGAATGCCTGTAAGAGGAGGTTGCTTAACACCGCCTCTTATAAATCTATGACATACACATTATTTTAAAAACCATGCCAGCATACTTAGAAAAATACAAACACCGTAGTCCATGAGAAAAGTCTAAAACTGCTTTTAAAAATATATTTCTGATTTGAACTCTAGTAATGATTTCTGCAAATCTGCGCCGTCTGGCTTTGTTTTATCAGCCAAAAATATTCTTTGGAAAAGAAAAAAAAAAGTCTGATAGGAGAAATACCAGGACAAGGACTGGGTGGAGTTAAAGCAGAGAGAAAATCAGCCAACATGCAATCTGGAGACAATTAGACCAACATTAACCCAGAAACAATCAGAGTTCTAGTCTGCTTGCAAACACTTTATGCCAAGAGAAAAAAAAATCAGCAAATAAATCACTAAAGGACAGTGCTAGGGAGCTAGAGTAAATGAGAATTCTTGGAGTAAAGACTAGTTCTGGCTGACATCTTGTAAGATAAGATGACTATTCTTTCCCATTGATCCAGGACAGGGGTACTGATGTTCCGATATAATTATTACTAGCACTACCTCTGCTTCTTAAAAGTGTCCCCGCGTTTGATTGAAAATTATATAGTCATATTATTTATATGCCACACATTTCAATGACTGAAAAAATTTATGTAGTTAATTACTAAATGACAGGCAAATACAATATTATAAACCATGGCATCAGAATCTACTCCTTTTTCATTTGAGCAAGGTCTCCTAACTCTCCTTAGAAAAAGAAACATAAAGTAAGCTGCATTTAAAAATAAGTATAAGTATCGTGGCTGGAAATAGATAAAATATCTAAAATTCAGTCCAGAACAAAGTAATATAAAGTGCTTTCAAGTGTTTCACAAACTTTTTTGGTATCTTTAATTTAATGTTTATACTGATAAAAGCAAGAACATCAAATTAATGGACTATATTTAAATCTCTTAAGTTGCTGAATACGTAATATTTCAAGAGACTTGCATATAATCAAGAATCCATAATCTTTCCTGTTTTTTTTCTTTTTTTCCAAGACCAGTAACCTAGATTAGTCACTCCATGGTGACTTTGGAGTAGGGAGAGAGAAAATAGATTGCATTTCATGTACTACTTTGAAAGCTGATAAATTTCAGCCAGAAAGTCATTCAGACTTCTATGTTGAACTAGTATGATCAGATTACTATGCTTTCTGGGAGCCACCATGTTATCTTATGCTAATGTGGATAAAAAAGTGAAGGCTTCTATTTGCTGCAGTTAGTGCAGAACAAATAATATTCTTGTAAAGGTTACCTGAATTGTAATTTCAAGAATTCAACCCATAACTTGTTCTATTCTTTAGCAAGAAGCTATCTCAACTCTCATAAATCCAAAGACTATTAAGTTTAAAATTTAGTTTTTGATGGATCGTGGACAATAACAGAATTCAAAATCATAGAATATGTAGGGCAAAACTGGACAAATAATTTAGCAAAATTAAAGATACTATTAAACTCTACCAATATTCAAGGACATTGTTAAGAGATCAAGATCAGTATTTAAGAAGTACGATAAATTTTGGCATGTAAAAAAGCGGGAAATGTTATACACTTTCCAACTATCACTGCTATGTTGCACTGCAGCTACTACCACAAAATCCTTTGGTCCTCCATTGACTTAGCATAGTGCATTCCACAAAAATAACAGTTTCTCAGGAAGGCTAAGTGCAGACAAGCCTGCAGGATTGTGGTAATCACCTTTCAATAGTATGGATGTAACACAGTAAAAACCAGGAAGAATGATTGCCCTCAGCCTATAAATCCTTGAGATAAGAGTAACAAATCTGTAATCATTTTCAAGTGTTGTACTCTGCAATGGTTACCGTGCTGTGATCTCCCTTTGCCTTGTTAGTCAAGGACCTGGCTCCACTTGGCTCTAATAGAAATTTTACATAATACAGGGAAAATGTTAATCAAAAGTATACAACTATAAAAATGGCCACTATACCTTCTTCTAGTTAACATAATGCAGAAATTGCACTTATACAATTAAAGCCTTTTGCTATTTGCAAGCGATATGGAAATTTAGCAAGTCACTATTAAATTGCAACAATGGATGGAATCAATAAAGATCACAATAAATGAGTATAAACGAGTTTACCTAATGACTGCAGATAGGTTCAATAATATTATTCCACCATATCATATCCATCCACAGGTGAGACAGTAACAAATATTAGATGCACTACGTGTATAAGCACATAATAGATAAGATAGATAAAATATTGAGGATACTATATATAACATGTATACATTGTAGGTATTTCAATATGTATATTAAAGCACACAAATTGAGATTTTAAGATTAAAACTACAAAAGGTTTCAAAGTAAATATATATTTAGAATATTAAAAGTAAAATTTATTAATAACTTCAGTAATTTATGTGTTCTACTAGTCACAATGATACATGAACAATTTAGATGCAATGTTATACTAAGGATAATTCTGTGTTTCAACTTCATTAAATCACTTAGACCAAAAGATAGATGCATGACATCTAACCTGTAGCTGTTTTTCTGGATGATACCATCTGATGTGTCCTGCTCTTCTTGGGCAGAAAAGCCTAGAAGGTGCCTCCTTTGATTTACTGGGCTCACACTAGGGTTCATTCTCCTGGAATCCTGTTCCAGCATGCTGAAAATAAAAAACAGGAAATAACAGCTCAAATAAAAATAAAAATAAGTCACGCATATGCCTGCTACATGCAGCTCTGAAACAAACGACAATTCTTCTGTAGATCCATGCATATAACAAAAATGCTAGGCACAGAAGTTCAAATACTGTACTGATGTGTTCAAATCCCTAGCTTGGTATCCTGCACATATCAAAAACAATTTTTATAAGTATAAAAGTAACTTATTGGCCAGGTGCAGTGGCTCACACCTGTAATCCCAGCACTTTGGGAGGCCAAGGTGGGCAGGTCACCTGAGGTTGGGAGTTTGAGACCAGCCTGACCAATATGGAGAAACCCCATCTCTACTAAAAATACAAAATTAGCCAGGCGTTGTGGCATGTGCCTGTAATCCCAGCTACTTGGGAGGCTGAGGCAGGAGAACTGCTTGAACCCAGGAGGCGGAGGTTGTAGTGAACCAAGAACATGCCATTGCACTCCAGCCTGGGCAACAAGAGCAAAACTCCATCTCAAAAAAAAAAAAAGTACCTTATTTATAAACTGTTTAAACAACAGCAGTGTTCTATATGCTTTAAAAACCCTGTAATTACATGTGCATTTGAAGTAGAGATAAATACAACACAGCTAAAAACAAATTTTAAACTAGGTAATAACTGAATTAAGGCCTCCTGGATGGTGCAAACTGATGTTTTCAATGAGGGAATACTTTAAATGAAGTAGGAATTATTCTCTTTCTCATTAGTCAAATTCATTATTAGCCTTTCACAGTTCCAGAAGGTAGGCTATCAGATAAAGCTAACAAAATATTATTTTTAAAAACTTTTAGGCCAGGTGCGGTGGCTCACGCCTGTAATCCCAACACTTTGGGAGGCCGAGGCGGGTGGATCACAAGGTCAAGAGATCGAGACCATCCCGGTCAACATGGTGAAACCCCGTCTCTGATGGAGTCATGATGAAGCAAAATTTAAGATCGAAATAATCTGAGTCTCAATTTTATTCTCTATCCATTGGCTAGAATATATTTTGAAGAGGTAATATAACAAGAAATTCTGCTAAGAATCTTTTAAAGTTTTTCACTTGCTTGTTTTTGGTTGTTACTATTTTTTGGCTTCCATTCCCTGTAGTTTTTTTTTTTATCTTAAAATGGAATTTCTCTTAAGCTAAATTACAGACAAGTTGACTGTCCAATTCAGCTAAAAAAAAAAAGTTAAATGTTTGAACTCTATGAAGTGACCCACAGAAACTGATTTTAACCATCTGAATAACTACAGATTTGTATTTCCCTTATTTTTATCAATATTTGAAAGACAGGTAAGAACTTCATTTCACTGCCAGAATTCAAGATTGTTTTAGTATGACTGTGACACCACAAATGTTGAGAGGAATTTGACAGTTCTTGTAATGGTCAAATGTACAAAAAAGTATGAGAAAATTATAGTTTATATGAACTTTTAGATTCTTGACATGAATGTTTTTGCATCATTTTTAGTTTCTAGTTCATAATATTAATAAAGCAATCTAACCAAACTTTTTATAATTAGCTTAAATCAGGCTCTGTTCAATATGTTTAAAACAAGCTATAAATATTTTAAAAATAGAAGTCTCTATGTCTCTATGATCAGACACATGCTAGTCCACAAGAGTCACGATAGTTTTATGCCACAAAATAATCATTACCCAGTAAACCTTGCTCATATTATGGGCCACTGGTCCTGAAAAGCATGGATTAATAAAACACAAATGATTTCCATTTCCCCGAAAGTCTGGAAAAAGTATTATAGGAATTGTTACCTTACTTTTTCATTTATTAAATTCTAAAAGCCAACAACTGTTTTACATTATTTATGAAGCCACTTAATCCTTACAATGTGACTTCAGATACTCAGTCTTCATACCAAGTAGCTGAACAAAAAATGGCACATCTCCAAGTCTAGTCTACTCCTTGCAAACCTGCTTTCTTATGGTACAAGTAGATCAATTTCAAATTTAAGCCATCTCAGCAGGTAAGAATCAAACTGTTTCTTATCCTCAAAAGAAATTGCATGCTGCTGCTGCTGCTCTGTGGCTCCGAGAACCACACACAAAAAGCTGAAATTACTTTAAGATGAAAAGAGCATAGAGTTCTTCAGGTTTTAATATGAAATAGTAGAATGAGCACAAAATTTAAAGACAGGAGATCTGGGTTCAAGATGTTACTCTGAGACTCCTCGCTTGAGTATGCCTGGGAAACATGGTCAACTTCTCTAAGCCTCCAATTCCTCACATGTAAAACATGATAAATAACAAATAATTCACAAGGTTTTCCTGAGATTCAAGTGAGACAACAGATGGGAACATGGTTTACAAAGTCCAGAGATGACACAGAGCAGGACGCTTGTCTTCCTGCCTACCAGGTTCAGGCTGGTGACAACAGAGTAACTAAAGTGTTCCTTTTAAAATATAGATCAGATTGTTATGTCACCTCTGCTCAAAACCTTTTGATGGCTTTCCATTTCTATCATGATAAAAGCCCAAATCTTTAAAATTGACCAAAGTCTTACTTCAGTCGACCCCTCCCTGTATCTTACTTACCTCTCTGACATCATCTCCTACTACTCTCACTTTAGCCAAGCCACACTGAGCACCTTGCTTTTCCTTGAACATGCAAGACACGCTTCCACGCCAGGATCTGTGCAATGGCTGCTCCTCTGCCAGGAATGCTCTTCTTTCCCAGATATCCATATGGCTAACCCTCACATCTGCCTTACACTGATCACCATTTAAAACTACAGTCCCAGCAGGGGACACAGCACTTTGAGAAGCCAAGGTGGGCAGATTGCTTCAGCCCAGGGGTTTGAGATCAGCCTGGGCAACATAGTGAAACCTCATCTCTACAAAAATAATAATACAATAATTAGCTGGGTATGATGGGGTGTGCCTGTGGTCCTAGCTCCTCAGGAGGCTGAGGTGGGACGATCACTTGCACTCAGGTCAAGACTGCAGTGAGCTGTGACTGCACTGCTGCACTTCAGCCTGGGGAACAGAGCAAGACCCTGTCTCAAAGAAATTAAAATTAAAAATAAGTAAATAAAACTATAGTCCCAACGACTACCCTTCCACATGTAAAACCATTTACCCTACTATGCTTTATCCCTTTGTTCAAAGAATTTATAACTTTCTCATTTTACTTATGTTTATTGTCACTCTTCTCGCTAGACCATAAGCTAAGGGGTGTTCCAAGTTCCTGGTTCACAGGAGGTATTCCTTTTTCAAAAAATAAACAAACTTTATGCACCATCTACATTTTAGGGAAACTAACCCACAACTCAAGAATGGCAGGTGGTGAACTTACTATTACAGAATTTCCAGATCCAGGAACAGAACATTACGCTAATTTTTAATGCAACTGAGGCTAAAAGTAGAAATAATGGTAGTTTTCAAGGTAGTTTCCAAATTTTAAAAAGGTTTTCTTTTCTCTGTTCACTGAATGGCTCATAGATGATTTTTGCAGCCTGGTAGTAACTGGGAGTAATATATTAGAAACATAAATGTGGTTAAATGAAAAAATAGACCTTTAAGTCAAGATAAAAGAACCCTTTAAATAGCAGTTCTCAGAGCCAGGGATTACTGTGCTCTGAGAAGAAACCTGCACTTTACAGTGGCTATTTGCCAAATGGCCAACATGAGCAAGAAAACAACCTGAGATTCTTTCATTCATTCAATAAGCAATTATAAAGCAAGCACTATTCTAATAGATGATGCTCATTCTTGGAACCCAGCCACTAAACAGTGAGGAAACCCAAGCAGCTGTGGAGAGGTCCAGATGAAGAAAAACCAAGAACCGTGGCGTACATCCCAAGCTCAGGTCCCGGCTGAAAGCCGTCACCAACTTGCTGGCCATGTTAATGAGCCAATTTGAAAGTGGGTCCTCCAACCTAAGCCACCCCAGTTAACACTCCATGGAGGCAAAGAAGAACTGTCTCTCCTGAATCCTGCCCAATTTGCAGATTTTTTACCAAAATAACTGCTGTTGTCTTAAGCCTTTAGGTTTTGGGGAGGTTGTTCCACAGTATTAGATAACAGATACATTATGGCTATTAGATTGCAGACATCACTGAGTCAATGTTTAATATAAAAAGTGTATGTGAACAACTTTTTGCATATGTCTCACTACAGAAAGGTATCTTCTGATTATTTTAAATGTCAAAAAGCATGGCTGTCAATTTCAATACAATCTCTCTTTTCTGTTATACTTACATCAATTCAGTCAATTCATAAGATGCTTTCCCTTATCACAGCCAATCCTAAGCTTTAGGGAAATGGGCAGAGTTACTAGATAGAGTCCTAACTCCTCCAGCTGCCTTCCTCTTCCTGAGTAGCTGCGGCACCGTCTGTGATTAAGCCAAGGCTCCACAGGTAGACTGTGAATCTGAGCTCTACCACATATCAGCTGTGCCTTCGGTTTTCTCATCTGTAAAGTGCGGATAATAATACCTACCTCATGGCACCAGGAGGAACAAATGAATTAACCCATATATTAAATAGAATACTTGGACTAGTATTTGGTGCATAAAAAGTAATTAGTGTTTGATAAATAATGGCCTAATGCAACAAGCAGAGAATACTAGTTACCTTTACTACCCAAGCACACATGGTTATCAACAGCCAACCTAGCTTATTCCAGAACTAAGAATCTGATCCTCTTTTCTTCCAACTGCCTTATTTCCATTTAGCTCTCACTCTAATTTACAAAAAAAAAGGGGGGGGTTGCGAAGGAAAAATAAAAGTAATCGAGAAATGCTTTATTAAGAATTATGGAAAAGGGCTGAGACAGAAAGTAATATAAGGTATAGAGATCATCTGTACATCCCCTACTTCTAGTTCCTCAGAGGCCATGAATTGTGATAAACTGACCATGGGCATAGCATACTGATGCCAATTTATGTTCTGAACATACAGACACCAAAAAGTTCAAAGGCATGGCACACACCCACAGTTCATGCTGACGTTAGTCATATATCAA